GACTGGCCTAGGGGTATTTTAAAGGGGTTTTAAATTAAATTTTTAGTAGAAGCGGCCAAATTTAAATAGTTATTTTTAATCTTTTTAAATTTTGTATTGTATTGTACCATTGTTTTAAACTGGCTGTAAGCCGCCCTGAGTCCTCCGGGAGAAGGGCGGGGTATAAATTTAATAAAATCAAATCAAATCAAAATCAAAAAATCAAATCAAATCAATCAGCCATTTGTCTGAAATGGTTTCCTGCTTGAGCATGGGGTTGGACTAGAAGACCTCCAAGTTCCCTTCCAGCTCTGGTTTTTGAAGAAATTTCTAAGGAAAACTATGCAAGGCAGAATTCAGCATCTAATTGTTCAGAAAATATATACCTGGGAAGATTCTGGAAAAGATAATCAAACAACGAATCAATGAACACCTAGAGGCAAACAAAATCACTACTAAAAGCCAATATGGGTTTGTCAAAAACAGATCATACCAGACAAACCTTATTGCATTCTTTGATCAAGTGACAAAATTAGTGGATCAGAGGAATGCTGTGGATATAATTTACTTGGACTTCAGTAAAGCATTTGACAAAGTAGATCAAAACGTACTGCTCGATAAGATAGAAAAAAGTGGGTTAGACAGCATCACCACCAGATGGATTCGTAGCTGGCTGACCGGCCGTACTCAGCATGTCATCCTCAATGGAACCATATCTACATGGAGGGAAGTGTGTAGTGGGGTGCCCCAGGGCTCTGCTCTCGGCCCAGTACTCTTCAACATCTTCACAACGACCTGGACGAGGGGATAGATGTGGAACTCATCAAATTTGCAGACGACACCAAGCTGGCAGGAATAGCCAACACTCCAGAAGACAGGCTTAGGATACAGAAGGATCTGGACAGACTTGAACACTGGACGCTATCTAACAAAATGAAATTCAATGGTGAAAAAAGAGGTTCTACATTTAGGCAAGAAAAACCAAATGTACAAGTATAGTATAGGGGGTACCTTGCTCAATAGTAGTAACCGTGAGACGGACCTCGGAGTCCTAGTGGACAATCACTTAAATATGAGCCAGCCGTGTGCTGCAGCTGCCAAAAAGGCCAACACAGTGCTAGGCTGCATTAACAGAGGGATAGAGTCAAGACCACGTGGAATGTTAATACCACTTTACAAGGCCTTGGTAAGGCCACACTTGGAATACTGCATCCAGGTTTGGTCACCACGATGTAAAAAAGATGCTGAGACTCTAGAAAGAGTACAGAGAAGAGCAACAAAGATGATTAGGGGACTGGAGGCTAAAACATTTAAGGAACGGCTGCTGGAATTGGATATGTCTAGTTTAACGAAGAGAAGGACGAGGGGGGACATGATAGCAATCTTCCAATATCTCAGGGGCTGCCCCAAAGAAGAGGGAGTCAAGCTATTCTCCAAAGCGCCTGAAGGCAGGACAAGAAGCAACGGATGAAAACTAATCAAGGAGAGAAGCAACCTAGAATTAAGGAGAAACTTCCTGATAGTTAGAACAATTAACCAGTGGAACAACCTGCCTCCAGAAGCGGTAAATGCACCAACACTGGAAGTTTTTAAGAAGAGACTGGACAGCCATCTCCGAAATGGTATAGGGTTTCTTGCCTGAGCAGGGGGTTGGACTCGATGACTTCCAAGGTCCCTTCCAACTTTTTATTATTATTATTATTATTATTATTATTATTATTATTATTATTATTATTATTATTATTATTATTATTATTATTATTATTATTATTATTATATACAAATTAACAATTATTTCTCTTTAAACTTACAGTTGATGATCTACCTTCAATGATGAAAGATGTGAAAAATCTAATATTATTAGCAAAGATTTATGAGACAACTAAAAGAGAAATTTTTCTGGAAACCCTGACAAAGGTAAAATATCAATATTACATAAACACAAATCAGAAGAATTATTTCAAAGTAAATACCAGTGTACAAGAAAAAATACACACTTGTGTTTTTCAGATAAGCCACAGTTTGAAATCAAGTAGCAACTTAACTTTTGTATCATAATAAGCTTATGATAGTTATAATCTACTCTTTCAAACAGAGAAGGTAACCAGTTGAGAGTAACTAGTCCATCTTTCTTAATTTGGTCTCAACCAACAGAAGAGTTGACAGTTATCAAAACAGGAAACAGATGTAAACTGCTATGCCTTTACAAAATAGCCCACAACATCGAAACAGTGAAAGGAAGCAATGGTTTTGCCATAATAAATGCCTATATTTTGTGTCTCCTTTGAAAGTAGGGGATTTATTGAAATTCTTGTATTGTAACCTTAGCATTCCTTTTATGAAATATTACTGATCAGAGCATTTAGGGTTTTATCCTTGAATTAACTGTTTCTGATCTAGACTTCAAAGAGAGAAGTCTGATATCTAAAGCAAAGCCAAAATAGCATGCAAAATTAAAAAGACATAATGAGAAATAGTGCATAGAAAATGTATGCATAGAAAGAAGAATCTCTAACATCTTGATTGAATCTTCTTTCTGGGATTGGACAGGAATGTTATAAGACAGTGGTGGCGAACCTATGGCATGCGTGCCAGAGGCGGCACTCAGAGCCCTCTGTGGGCACGTGCGCCATTGCCCCAGTCTCACCTCCCCCGTGGCCCCCTCACTCACCAGCAGCTCCCCCACGGAGAGTCACCCGCGGGCGTGGAGCAGCGCAGCCAAGAACATGGCAGCTGGGCAGCAGGGACCTGCCTCATGTCCCATCACGCACAGATGATGCTGCGGGGCACGAGCAGAGGGCTTGGCCATTATGGCGCTACAGGGTCACCTGGGTGATCTGCGGAGGGCCGTCGAGGCGGTGGGTAGCCCTGTGGGTGGGCGGGGTTGGGGCAGAGCGGGGGGCAGAGTGGGGGTAGGGTAGGGCAGGGGGCAGAGCGGGGCAGGGCCGGGGGGACAGAGCGGTTTTTGGGCACTCGGTCTCTAAAAAGTTCGCCATCACTGTTACAGAGTCTCCTTCTTGGGCGGGGGGTTGGACTAGAAAATCTCCAAGGTCCCTTGCAACTCTGTTACTCTATTATTCTGCTAAGATAAAATGGTAGGGGGAAAAATCATTGTGCCATTTTCCTCAAAGGAAAATGGAAGATACATGTAATCAATAGCAACTAGTAAGTAATTGTCTCAGAATTAGATGTTCTTCAGGTACTAGCTTACATGTAGCCTCAATTGCCCTAATTTTATACATTTGTCACCGTGAAGGCTTATGACACCCAACAAAGGATATTAAAGAGAGTTCGTGTGGAGCAGCCAGAGTTGATCCCTCCTCAAAAACAAATGCTTCTAAAAATCTGTGTGCAATTTGCCAAGTTCCATCGATCAGAAAAGGAATATGAAAAAGCTGTGAAGTACTACTCAGAGGCCCTGGCCTGCGTACCGACTGATAATAAGGTAAGCAACACTCCACCCAAAAAGCAGACCACCTAAACTGTCCGGTTCTGGGACTCCTTACAAAAAATGCTGGGTCACATTCAGTAAAAGCATTTTTAGATTTTTAAGCAGTAATATGTATTACAGATTATTTATCATAAATTTGTTTTGCTTTATCTGTTGTGAAGATAAAATACTAATCTACCCATATGAAATAAGTAGCAAAGATTGAACCAGATGGGTAATAAAAAAAATATTCCAAATATGAATTACCAGAAGAAGACAAAGTGTAATTACAGTGATACGGGGTCACACTGCTGACTTACCTCAGCAAAGCTTAGAAATGAACTTTTGCTTTTAGATTTGGATTTTTTTTCCCAGTTCTCCAGCACAAAATAGGGGAATTCAGGATGGAATTGAAAAATAACTCAACCAAAAAGCACAGTTAATTATGGTCTCTATATTCCTACTGTAGAGAGAGGGCTAGAGGTACCTGATACAATTATCAGTGCCTTTTCTATTTCAATTTATTGCTGAACGAATGTTATTTCCATTTTATTTGCAGATAATTTTCGAATTAGCTGAACTATATTTGATACTAGGAGACACAGACCAGTGTGAGCATTACTGTTCTCTCTTGCTTCAAGACAATGAGTGCAGTGAAATTGGAACAATGGTATGCAGTTTGTTTGCCTTCTCATATATTCAGCTGTAAAATGAAGCTTTTTTGTGGTTTTCTTTATCTCGATAGCCCACTATGGCTCTTCACTGGGTGACAATTCTGAAAAAAAGTTTGAAAAGCCCTAAAATTAAAACTCGGTTGTTTGGACCTTAAAGGGAGCCTCAACGATGCCTTTTTTTTTTTGTGTACAAAAAGCAACTGGACTGTTTTTTCCTTTGAGGAAGAAAAAGAAATGTCACTCCTCATTGAAGAAGCTTCATCAGTTCTGATGGTGGGAAAAGAAAACCTCCATTTCCTCCCCCCCCCCCATCAAAACTGATGAAGCTTCTTGGGTGAGAAGCTAGCTGTTTTTTTCTTCCTCCTCAAAGAAAAAAACAGTCTTTTTGCCTTTTGAAGGGAAAAAAAAATACCTTTGACACAACTATGACCTGGATGATTGAGATTCTCCACAGACATGGTAAAGGTAGCATTTGCCTCATCCCAGAACTAACTTGTCTTAATGGTGTGATGACACAGCATACAGTAGACACAAATTTACTCTTTGAACTCTGGTGCTGGAGAAGACTCCTGCGAGTCCCCTGGACTGCAAGGCGATCCAACCGGTCAGTCCTAGAGGAGATCAATCCTGACTCCTCTTTAGAAAGCCAGATCCTGAATTCTGAAACTCAAATACTTTGGCCACCTAATGAGAAGGAAGGACTCACTGGAGAAGAGCCTGATGCTGGGAAAGATGGAGGGCAAGAGAAGAAGGGGACGACGGAGAACGAGGTGGCTGGATGGAGTCACTGAAGCAGTAGGCATGAGCTTAAAGGGACTCCAGAAGATGGTAGAGGACAGGAAGGCCTGGAGGAATGTTGTCCATGGGGTCGCGATGGGTCGGACACAACTTCGCAACTAACAACAACGACAACAAATCTCAGACTAGCAGCAATCCTATTTACATTACTTTGTTCATTTTGGAGACAGCTTTTTACTTCATAAGAATCTCAAAGATATTTGATTTTGTGTTGACATTTACTATTTAGCATGAACGTTCCCTGAAGAGTCAGAGGAGGCTTATAAGTGGGTTGCCAAGCTGCCAGAAACTGGGGCAATAGACAGAGTTCCCAGAATCTGCTTACAGATCAGAAACTGGAGTAGGATAGAACCAGGAGGATATAATTAATACAAACAAGGAAGCAACAAACAAAAAATTCACACATATTCATAGTGGAACAGTTGTCTGTGTAAGCTTTCCCATATGGAAATTCTTTGTATATTTTATCTACCTACCGATTCATCTATTTGGAAGTTCAACTTATGCAAAAAATATTCTCTGTTTGAAGCTATTTTTATGGATTTCGCTATTCTAAAATTAAGACCCTATTTTTGTTTGTTCAGTCTGTCTGGTATACAATATACCTTGTATAAATCTAATAAGCTATGTATATAGGTAGTCCTCAGCTTACAACCACAACTGAGTCCAAAATTTATATTATTAAGAAAGTCAGTTGTTAAGTGAATTTTGAACCATTTTGCAAATTTTTTGCCACAATGTTAAGTGAATCACTGCAGTTTTTTAAGTTAGTAACACAATTGTTAAGTAAATCCCCATTGACTTTGCTTGTCAAAAGGTCACAAAAGGCGATCAGATGACCCTGGGATAAGGCAACCATCATAAATATAAATATAAACCATCATAAATATAAATATAAATTCAGATGCCAAGCATCTGAATTTTGATCACATGATCACATGTTGCAATGGTCTAAGTGTGAAAAACTGTCATAAGTCAGTTTTTTCAATGTCATTGTTAACTCTGAGCAGTCACTAAAGGACAAGAAGCAATGGATGAAAACTAATCAAGAAGAGATCCAACGTAGAACTAAGCAGACATTTTCTGACAGTAAGAACAATTAATCATGGAACAACTTCCCTCTAGAAGTTATGGGTGCTCCATCACTGGAGGTGTCTGAAATGATATAGGGCAAGGGTGTCAAACTGCCAGCCCGCAGGCCGGATGTGTCACGAAACCGCGCCCACCCCATTGTCGGCAATGGGGGAAAATCTCCGATACGTTGCGTGACATCACGTGATGTCGCGAGTTTGACATGTCTTGTATAGAGCTTCCTGCTTGAGCAGGGGATTGGACTAGAAGACCTCCAAGGTCCCTCCCAACTCTATTATTTAAAATGAACTATTTTAAGTCAAGGACTATCTGTACATGTGTGTATGTAGCCATATCTAACTCTATTCAGAGATACACAATCAAAAAAGGAAATGAGGTACCCACAACTTAGTGCATCTCCAGAAATGATCTTTTCCAGTTGTTAAGGTTCTATGATTCTGCTTGAGTTGACCAAAAGTTTAAGATAAAAAGTCTTTATGCTTCAGCTCTTCACTGATAGATTTATTTTCATTTATTTTAATATTTATGAAGTTTTATAAAAGAACGAATTTAAAAAATGCTGTGGTTTTATTTTCGGTTGAAATATTTCCTGCTTGAGAAGGGGGCTGGACTAGAAGATCTCTAAGGTCCCTTCCAGTTCTGTTCTATTCTATTCTATTCTATTCTATTCTATAAATATTTTTTCTTTTGTTAGATGTTGGCAAACCTTATGTTTAGAAAAGAGAAATATGAGCAAGCCATAAGTCTTTACCGGAATGTTTTGGAGAAAACCCCTGGTATGTATTTATAATTTAATAAAAGTATTTATGTGTTTCTTTAAGACCTTAAATGGGATTACTAAAGTAGCTTACATAACAGATTAAAAGATTATCAAACTAAATAATGAAGTTTTTCTTTTCCTTTGTAATATTAACAAGAATTTAACTGAAAAGTATTGAAAATATATTTTTGCTAAAAATATAAACTTGTGATTTAGATAATTTTTCGGTTATGGAGAGCTTGATTGATTTGCTGAGAAGAAGTGGTAAACTTGATGAAGCTACACCCTTTTTTGAACTAGCCAAGAAAAAATCAATTCGAACACCTTTGGAACCTGGCTATAATTATTGCATGGGACTTTACTGTTGGTAAGTTATACAGAATGATATTTACGAAAATCACAGACTTATGGTATAGCTAAATGTGATGCTGATGACCCAAAACTATAACGTCTGTTGTGTATTAGGAAGAAATAATTGAGGATGGAGTTGTATTTCATTCTAATGCTTTGAAAAAAAGGAATTAGTGTCCTCCCACTTTTCCCAAGCTACTGTTTGTATAAAAATATGACAAGTTACACATGTCATACTGATATCTATCAACCCTCCTGCCTCCATCCAATTTCATAATGAAAATAACATAGATTATGATCCCAGTTTGATATGTGTTTCTCAAGCAATTGTTACAATTTCTTTGAAATATTAAAAAATCTTAAAATGAATTCTTGTTCCTTATGAAGTGTGACTGTTAGACCCTGTGCTATAACTGTGGGTAAAATGGTGAAGGAAGTGGTCAGGGAATTGCGCAGCCGGTGTCCAAATGGAGTCAGAGACACTGACACAAAGTTGTATTTTTACATAAATAAATACATTTTACATCAATATTTACAGCAAACTAGATAGTCAGGCAAACAGAAGCATCATGAGATAAATCACAAAGCACATAGGGCACAAACAGAAGAAAGAAGGTGGGGGGGAGGGAAATTCCCCCTCCACACCCAGAGCGACCAATCACAGCGCAGATTGCCTCACGCAGGAGCTCGCCCTCTCCAATCAATCATCTCTAACTGTGAGTTCTGGCTAAACCGCTCCAGCTACTAAATTTGAATACCTTAACAGAAGCACATTGGAGTATCTCTAATAACATTTGGACTCTCCTAGGCGGCCGAGTTAAAATGCTGCCTACCAGCCCTTCAGTCACTAGAAAACGATTCTCCAATGCGAGTTTAGCATTCTTTCCGAAGAGCATTCTTCCCAGGTTCAAAAAAATCAGCTCACTGATAGGCCACAGATGCAGAGGGAAGTATGAGGGAACAATTGATCATGAACAAGCTGAAACAATTAGCAATGCTGGCAGTGAGTGACTGAGCAGTTCAGTTCAATCCAATTACCATATGGCTAGCAGCACCTGGAAGTAGCCAATGGATGGCCATGGAGAAATAAAATGTGTAATAACAGTCACCACAATGGCAATTAGAACAGAATGTCCTCAATTTGTGATCACAACTGAGCCCCAAATTTATGTTGCTAAGTGAGACAGTTAAGTGAATTTTGCCCCATTTGACAACCTTTCTTGCCACAGTTGCTACGTGAATCACTGCAGTTAGTAACACGGTTGTTAAGTGAATCTGTTTTCCCCATTGACTTTGCTTGTCAGAAAGTTGCAAAAGGGGATCACATGACCCCAGGACACTGCAACCATCATAAATACATGCCAAATGTCAAAATTTTGATCATGTGACCAAGATAGTGTTTTTCAATGATATACTGGAGCTACTAGAAGTGACTTCAGACTGCCTCTACTGTGAGCTGAGATGGGATAAGGGGAACATCATGAGAGCATGGCAGAAAAAAATGTGCTTATACCAGGGCACCTTCACATCAGATTAGGAGAAAATGAGGAAGAACAGTCTCCTCAGTTTTAAAATGAATAAGGTTATTTGCTCCCTTATCTGTTGTAGTAATATTTTCAGAATTTTATCTCTTTAATTTTTAAATGGATTTAAATGTATAATTTCTTTTTATCTAGATAACATTATTTATATTTCTCTTCTACACTTGTAGAAATCTCATTAGTTCATTAGTTCAACAGAATAAAGTTGATCTATGCCTAATTATTCTCTGAGCTTCAAGTCATTTGACTCTGTTTGGTTGAATCAGGTCTATGATAGTATGAAGCCAAATATTTGGATAAACAGTATTTTTATTAGCAAGACTGATCATTTTAAAGCTGCTATACTGCATGCACTTTTTAAAAACTTTCTCTCCACAAACAGGCATCTGTGGCAACCTAATCAGGCTTTGAAGTTCTTCAATAAGGCTCGTAAGGATAGTGATTGGGGCCAGAAAGCCCTTAGCTATATGATCCTGATATGTCTAAATCCTGACAATGAGATAGTAGGTGGAGAGACTTTTGAGAATCAAAATACTACAGATGCCAGGTAAAGGAAAATGAAATTTGGAAAAAATTCAAATTTGAAAAATTTCAAAGAATTAAAAAAATCTTTAATAAGTAAGCAAACAAAATTTGCCTTATGGTCTCAGGAAAGAAAGAGTGTGCCTAGCAATGTGGTAGTGTAGAATTCAGTCTGATAAGAGGCAAAGTTGCTTCAGATTTGACATAGACAGTCTTGCTATACCATCAGCATCTCCTTGAATGAACTGGGTCTACACCTGGCCTTGCACAGTTGCCCCACAAGCTTAGGAAGATACACATTTATGTTCAAGAGGCATTAAGGAGGCAACAATAAGTACATTAATGCTGGATCATTGCTTTGACCAGATCTGATTACTGTACACTGTTCTTCTCTACAGTAATCTCCGCAGATTTATCAAGCTTCTGCTGAAGTAGACAAAATCCATTTGAGATTTTATTTATGCATAATCACCTATGTGTAAAAGCTCATTTGTTTTATCTATGTGCAAAATTCCATTCACCTTTTAACACGCAATCCAATGTAACAGATATCTCATTCGCTCTATTAGTCAATTAAATCAAAGATTTGTGGTTATACTGAGTTTAAAAGGCAATAAATTAGTAACCTTTTCTTTAATGTTGTCCAGTACTCAATAGCTTAGGAAATATCAAATACTTTCTTTTCAACAGTAACTTAAAGGAAAAAAAAGAATCTGAACAGCATGGGATACGTACAGCTGAGAAGCTACTTAAGGAATTCTATCCTCACTCACAGGAAGGCCAGAATCAAGTGGAAATGTTGCAGAGCTACTGTTTAATGGCCACAAAAGAAAAACACAATATGGAGAAGGCTCTGAAAGTGTTTATAGAAATGGGACAAAATGAGGTAAATAAGAAATATTGCTTGAAATTCAAAATGAAACATATTAACAAAAAGTTTGTAAAGACATCAGAATACCACTGGAAGATAACTTTCAAAAGATTTTTTTTTCAGAGTAGTATCAATAGAAATAGAAATAATGATCAGTTTGTCAAATTATTTCTACTATCTGTCTATATTGAAATATTATACTTTTAACCTAGGGGAAAAAAATCTATTCCTTAAGAGGCATTGAGTGACAGGAAATTCTCTTTGGACATACATGGCCATAGTAGTTTTTTTTATTTCATTTCATATATGCTTTTTAAAAAATTGACGGAGCCAGAGATGGAATGGAGATAATGAAAAATGACTAGTGTAAGTTGGAGGGGAGTCTACAGTATCTATAAAATAACTCTCCTATATAGGATCAAGCTACAGATTATATGACTTTATATGTTAATATGGGGTTCTCAGCAGTAGTAGTTTTTCTAAAGCAACAGTGAATAGCTTGAGGAAAAGCTTATTCCATTTTGCTTTGTGCTTACTCCTGCCTAAATCTCTCTTCCCAAGTCCGTTCCCAGGGGTTAAAAATTAATAAAAACTATACAGCTCAGGAGTTGATAAATTATAATTTGCACCATTTTTATTTATTTATTTATTTGTATTTTGCATTTATTATTTTTACAAATACAGGTAATCCTATATTGATTTACAACCTTTTGTTTAGTGACTGTTTAAAGTTAAAAGGACACTGAAAAAAGTGACATGACCATTTTTCACACCTATGACCATTGCAGCATCCCCACATCACATGATCAAAATTCAGATACTTGGCAATTGACTCATAGATGGTTGCAATGTCCCAGGGTCATGTGATCCACTTTTGCAACCACCTGACAAGCAAAGTCAGAAGCCAGATTCAATTAACAACTGTATTACTAACTTAACAACTGCAGTGATTCACTTAACAAATGTGGCAAGAAAAATTGTAAAATGGCAAAACTCACTTAACAATTGACTCACAGACCCTATGTTCTGTGTACATGGGATTTCCTATTCTTTTCAGGTTCTGCCATTCTCCTGGGGGGAGGGGGAAGCTTGAGGTACCGATGTGTATTTCTTTTGTTCTGTCTCTTGCTCTATCTTCTTTGATGTGTCTCTAACGGGGTGGGAATGGAATGTACCTCCAGCCATCTGCCTTATCTCCCAGCGTGGAAGAAACAGCACAGACACCTAACAGCCTTGGAAGCAGCGCCTTATCACTCTGTTCCCATTTATTTATTTATTTATTTATTATTTAAATTTATATACCGCCCTATCTCCCTTACGGGACTCAGGGCGGTGAACAGGCAATTGGTATTTTCACACCTCCAGATTGGCCTGTTTGAACTGTCTGGATGGACAGTTAGGGTGGGTTACTATGGACCCTTTTAACTACTTGATTTGCGCGGGAAACCTTCAGATCCTGCCTTCTATTCCTGCTATCAATACCTCCCAATAAAAGTTCCTTTTGAAATGATGCCATTTCAAGAGTTCTGCTTTCTTGGGAGAACTAATTGAGGTGGGTCATTAACATTAGGCAGGATCTGCAAAGTGGTCAACCCGGAGGGAAGACCCCTACTGTGGAGATTGTGCAAAAGATGTCGAACCACAGTGCAGAGAGAGGAGAAGGCAACTTTGTTGAGGAAGATTCCCCCCAGACTGGCCTGAGCAAGAGCAGCTTGGACTCCTCTGGTTCATCCGACAAAGCCATGACCAGAGAAAGTCGGGGAAAACCAAGATGGTTGATGGGCATTGGAAAGAAAGAAAACTGGGAGGCAAAAGCCAGGAAGGTAACCCTAAAGCCTGGCAGTCACCAGCTGGGGTGGAAGTGAGAGATGGAGAGGTCACGCAACCTTAGTGAGGAGGATGACGAGAGACCAGCCCTGTCCGACCATCTCCTCAAACAAGCAAGCCATCAGCCTGATGGTGGAAGCCTAAAAGAGAAGGAGGAAAACCCATGCTGGGGCTCGGTGGCCACAGGGATGGTGGAAGTGCCAGGAGAGCGAGGTGGCAAACCCAGGCCCCTCTACCAGCCCATAGAAGGCTATGGAAGCCATGGCAGTGGCTGCTACCCCAGCACAAGCCATCCAGCCAGGAGAGATGGGCACTAGGCCAGGCGAAGAGAATTCACTGACCCGGCCGAAAGTTCCCGCCCTTGAGAGTGAAGTACGACAGGGTGCCTTAGCAGTTGGGATTTTTTCTAGCCCATGTCCTGAACTACATGGAGGAATACAGTCGAGATATCCCTAGTGACAACAGACAGGTGAGAGTCATAACTATAGTCCTGAAGGGAGCAACAGTTCAGTGGATGGTGACCCTGCACAACGCCGATGCCCCTGAACTGCGAAACTTCAACCACTTCATGGCTGCCCTGAGGAGGAGGTTCGAAGACCCTTTAGCCGACCGGAAGGCTAGAGAACGCATCAAGGTTGTGGCCTGGTAGCTGAGTATGCAGAGGAATTTAGAGACCTGGCAGGTTGACTTAACTAGCTGGAGGATGTCCTAGTGAGCCATTTCAAAGATGGGCTGAATGACAACTTATACCACCCCTGCATCCCCAGAGGAGATCCAGACTGGCTCCATGACTGGTGTATCCTGGCTGAAGAAGCTGAAATCGACCAAGCCTGAAAGCAGCAACGCCTTGGGTGAACCTGGAGATGCTCCCCCTCGGGGGGAAAACAGGAGGCAGCCAAATCACCCTCCATGACACCATGCTCAATGGCTTGCTTCAAGTGCGGTAAGGAGGAGCACCAAGCTGCCAAATGCCATTTGAAAACTCCCATGCAAAAGCCCCACTGAGCCGGTGGAGGGAAACCTGGGAAGACTCCGCAGCAACCCAAAGAGACTGCCATGAAGAGCACTGAAGTTGTTGAGGTCCCATCCCCTGGAACTCTGGGGGAAGGAACTCTGGCTCCAGTTGAAAAACCACCCAAATCCCCTGACAGAGACTCTGAAGACAAACCCCTGGTAAGTGGACCCATCGCACCCCTTACCAGAACCATAGAACTGTTGAATCCAGGGATGCCAAGAAAGGTGACCCTGAAAGCCCTAGTGGACTTGGGTTGCACCCATTGTCTCATAAGCCCAACCTTCATGGGGAGTCTAGGAATCCCAGTGAGGAGGCTGAAGAAGCCAATTTCATTTGGCCAATTAGATGGGTCCATCACAGGGGGGATCCCAATCACCCTTGCCACCTAGCCAATCCAACTCACAATGGGGGATCACACTGAGACTTTGACTTTTATAGTGGCCCCAGGCATAGAGTGGCCCTTAATCTTGGGGATGACATGGTTGAGGAAGTGGAGTCCAAGGGTGGACTGGAGAACCAGAGAGTTGAGTTTCCCAAAATAAAAGCACGCTGCCTGGGGTGGAGGGTGAAAGACAAAAAGAAAAGGAAACCTGGAGGTAGTAGCAGGGATTGGAAATGGTACCTGAGGAATACCAGGATTTAGCTGTTCAGCGAAGAGTGGTCTGATGAACTGCCCTCCCATCAGCCCACCAACAGCGCCATTGAAATTCTACCAGGGGCCAAATTACCCAAGTCAAAAATGTACTCGATGACCCCCCAAGAAATAGGAGAACTGCAGAACTCATAGTGAAAAATTTAGCGCAAGGTTTCATACAGCTGGCGTGACAAAAAAATGGCAGCTCCAGTTTTGTTCCAGGAGAAGAAAGATGGGTTTCTTCGCCTCTGCGTGGATTACAAGTCTTTAAATGCAGTGAGCAGAAACAATATCTACCCCCTGCCACTAACGAAAGATATGTTGGCTCACCTACCGAAGGGGGAAATATTCTCAAAATTAGACCTAAGGGAAGCATATTACAGGGTTAGGGTTAAAGAAGGAGACGAATGGAAGACGGCATTTAACTGCCCCATGGGCTGCTTCTAATTTAGGGTGCTCCCGTTTGAACTGCAGGGAACGTCAGCAGTCTTCATGCAACTAATTAACAAAGTCTTCCAGGAGCACCTCTACAAAGGGGTCCTCGTGTACCTGGATGACATCTTAATTTTCACCGAAACAAGTCATCATCCGCAAATGAATGGTGGGACAGAACATTCGAGCTCAGTATTGGAACAATATTTAAGATGCTTTATTAATTATCAACAAGACAATTGGACCGATCTGCTTCCTTTCGCAGAAGTGGCTTACAACAACGCTGTTCACTCCAGCACAGACTATATCCCATTCCAGGTTGCAACTGGGCAAAGATTCAACCCAATGCCTGAATTGCCCGTCAACGAACCCACTATCCCCTCCCTAAAGAAGTGGATCACACAACTCCAAAATACATGGCCAGTAGTGAGAAAAGCATTAGATGAGGCTAGGGAAGCGTATAAAGCGCAAGCAGATGATAAGTGGGTTGAACCTAAACCGTTTAAAATGGGAGAGAAAGTATACTTATCCACAAAGTATTTAAAGTCTTTGCAGTCATCAAAGAAATTAGGACCAAAATATGTAGGACTATTCACAATAAAAAGAATCATCAACCCAGTAACCATAGAATTGGAACTCCCAAAAATGTTGAGACAAGTTCACCCAGTATTTCATTGTAGTCTGTTAAAATGTGAACTACTCACCCCTAAGGCCAGCTGCAGTCCCCCCTCCCCCACATATTATGGTAGAGGGAGAACAGCATTTTGAGATCAGAGAAATCCTAGATTCCAGGAAACACCATGGATCAACCCAATACCTAATAGTTTTCATACCTGCAGATTAGCCTTTGAACTGTCTGGAGGGACAGTTAGGGTGGGGTTACTATGGACACTTTTAACTACTTGATTCGTGCGGGAAACCCTCAAATCCTGCCTTCTATTCCTGCTGTCAACATCTCCCAATAAAAGTTCCATTTGAAATGATGCCGTTTGAAGAGTTCTACTTTCTTGGGAGAACTGATTGAGGTGGGTCCTTACACTCGTTTAGCAACAGAAATATTGGGCTCCGTTGCAGTCGTAAGTTGAGAAATACCTGTAACTCAAGGTGGCAACACCTTCCTTCACCTATTTTCCCCACAACAACCACCTATGACGTGGGTTGGACTGACAGAGAGTAACTGGCCCAAATCACGCAGGTGACTTTCATGCCCAAGACAGAATTAGAATTCACAATCTCCCACTTTTAAACCTGATTATCAAACTGACTACTACACCAAACTAAATCAAACTGGCTCAGATCCTTCTTGTAAGCCATGAAGATGATATCATGCTTAGTTGCAGCATTGAGGATTATAAATTAGCAGCTCAGGGTCACAGGTTCCCTATTCTGAATTAGTAAAAAAAAAAAAAAAAGGAGATAGGGTGTGAAGGGTCATTTTGATTGACCAAATCATCAGTGTAAAGAGATCCATCTTGTTCTGTAGTTCAATGCCACCCTGGAACTTATGCACAGCCATTCTAAATAAACGAAGTATGTCTACAGGATGGTGTACTACAACACATATTACTGTACTCATATAATCTTATACAACTAAAGATCTAAATTATTGGATCAAAGGTAATGCTTCCAGATGTGGGCTTCAAAAACTCCAGTTTATCAACAGCAGAGAGATACAGAAAAAGCTAACCCTTGCTACTGTTCTAGTTGTCATCTGGAATATAAAGGTAAAGGTATCAACCTCTCAAGAATATGAAGACACTGTTAAAATCAAACTTCTCCATAATTTTTAAAACAGAGAGACAATGTTCCTGCCATTCTGGCTATGGCTCAGGCCTACATGCTGCTTAAACATACAGCTAAAGCCCGGACCCAGTTAAAGCGCTTGATCAAAGTGAGCTGGTCTCTGCCAGATGCTGATGAGTTAGAAAAAGCTTGGCTGCTATTGTCTGATATCTACTGCACATCTGGGAAGTATGATCTTGCAACTGAGCATGTGAAGCGCTGCTTACGATACAATAAGGTAAGACGATGTGAACCCATTGAAATGGCAGAAGACGTTTTTCACAGCACTGGGTTTTAAAATAAGCATCCTCCTAACATTTGATTTAGGCCTAACTTTATTATCGAATATATGAATTCCTGATTCTGAAAGTTTTCTTTTCGTGGTTCTAAGATTTCCCAAATCATTAAGGATGTAGTATTTTGTTGCTATATACTTCATTTCTGAACAATGAGAAGTTTCAAAAATATTTACTGTAATTAATGCTGTGTGCCATACCACTCAAGGTGGTTGACGAAATTAAGTACTATTCCAACAATTGCCCAGGAATTTGCTTCTTGGAAGGAGATACAAGAAGTATATCAAGTATTTAATCAAATGAAATATCATCAACACTTCATATCATAGATTGCCAATCAGATTTATAGTAAGATCCTTAATATTATAGAATTCCCTTCACTTAAGTTCTTTGTTTCTTTTTTCCAATTCTATCAGAATTTGAACTAATGTTACATCATAGTCACTTGCAATATTCAATTATTTGGCATCATTTCCAAACATATTTAGAGCTTTACTGTCTCTGATGTAAACCATTGGGCCCTTGAAACCTGCAGTTCTGCCACAACAGATCACCCACACACATTTTAAAATGAACTAACATTACAATTTGCAAATCAAAAATATTTTCAAGATGGTATCCAATAGTTGCAGGTTTGAGGTTACAGAGGGCATCTTCAAGTAATAATTCTTTAGTTCAAGCATATCAACATCTGAGCACAAAAATACCAATTCACCAAAATTTAACAGAATAACAGAGTTGGAAGGGACCTTGGAGGTCTTCTAGTCCAACCCCCTACTCAAGCAGGAGACCCTATACCATTCCAGACAAGTGGCTGTTCAGTCTCTTCTTAAAAGCCTCCAGTGCTGAAGGCAAACTATTCCGTTGATTGATTGTTCTAACTGTCAGGAAGTTTCTCCTTAGTTCTAGGTTGTTTCTCTCCTTGGTCAGTTTCCACCCGTTGTTTCTTGTCCTGCCTTCAGGCGCTTTGGAGAATAGCTTGACACCCTCTTCTTTGTGGCAGCCCCTGAGATACTGGAACTCTGCTATCCTGTCCCCCCTCGTCCTTCTCTTCATTAAACTAGACATACCCAATTCCAGCAACCGTTCCTTGTAAGTTTTAGCCTCCAGTCCCCTAATCATCTTTGTTGCTCTTCTTTGCACTCTTTCCAGAGTCTCAATATCTTTTTTTATAATATGGTGACCAAAATAGAATGCAGTAGTCTAACTTGACTATTTCAAATTTTCCAATGCAGATTCCAGTGCTATATTAATTAGCAGCCTTCCACCTTTCCACCAGATAAAAGACTAAACAAATGTCTAGTCTGAGGGGGAAGATTTGTTCTCCGAACTTGTGGGCTGGTTTCCAAACATTTCGTTACCAGGCTAGTTAACATCTTCAAGGGAGTTTAGGGGATGTCAGTGTCAATGTTCTTCTGTTTATAAGGGCTTCAGGTGTGGGTGTGTCAAGTGATGGGTCTTGTGATGGGTCAGGGGTGAGTCATCAGTGAGAGGCTTGTGATGGGGAGGTTACTGGGAGGTGAACTGCTGGTGGGAGGGTGGCTTGCATGGATTGGTTGAGGGTCGGTGCTGTCTCCTCTTGGCTGTGTGGTTGATTTGGATTCTGAAGGGTTGATAGGCTGGTTGTAGGTCGATGTGTCCATTGTGGAGGCTTTGATGAACTCACGAGTGTGGCGGGTGGTAGTGTGGCCAATGATTTTGTCTAGTCTCCTCACTGCACAGTCCATGTATTCTTGTATGCATTTTATTTTTTGGTTTGGAAAACATGAGAGGATACTAGGAACTTTATCAGTTTAATTGATGTTTCAAAGTATTAGCCAAAGCATTCTCTAATTAGGCTAAGAGAAGCCCAAAGGCCATTATCTAGCCTTGGCATAAGATCAACAGCACAGGTGGGTGTTTTTTTAAATAAATCTTAACTTGTGTACCAGCTAAAAATTTTGTATTGCTAGCAAAAGTGCTCTCTGAGGCTGTTTCTTCCTTAGGATAAAGTGAAACCTAAGCTGAGAGGTGGAAGACATGATGAGTTATCTCTCCTGTGAGAAAATAGTCTTTAATGAAGAGAAGGACGAGGGGGGACATGATAGTAGTCTTCCAATATCTCAGGGGCTGCCCCAAAGAAGAGGGAGTCAAGCT